GTCGAACTCATTCGCATTGTGCAGGACAACAAGGTTGGCGTGTCGAGTAATACGGTTTCCTCTTAAAAAACAAGGCGAACCAATCGAACCAGTTTCCGTGGAACGAGCAACGTGCACGATATTATCTAATTTCTGAATTATTTATCACACGTCGCCCTTCTTCCATTGGATTGTGTGCTGTTTTCGCATTTCGGTATCGATTTTATGGTATTGATTGCTAGAAACGAATATTTAATTATTTTTTTCACGATTCGTCATGTTCCTGTTATTATGTTTGCTGTGTTTATTAGTTGAACTTTCATTTCGTATAAACATTACACAATCTAGATTTTGACAACTTCACTCTGAAAAATAACAACATCTATATAATTCTCATTGTGTTAATATTAATATCAATATGATGTGAATTTAACATCATGGGTTTAAATTCAAACCATGTGTGTGATGTTGTAATATAAACATCAGAGATTTAAAATTCATACTATATTGGTTGAACGTTGAGACGTTAATATTAACAATATGATGTGAATTTAACACTATAAGGTTTTAAAATCACATCATGATGGTGTTATATAAACATCAGAGATTTGAAATCCACATCGAGTTGGTATTAATATTAATACGAACACAGTGAGAATTAGGTACGCCTTATACACTCTAAAGCTCACCGAGAGTACACTGAAAGAAAAGATTAGCTGCTGCAGAAAATTAGATGGTAAAATATGGCATAACATTTTTAATTGGCTGAGGCAACCAATTAAAAATGCTATGTCATATTCAGCCAATCTTTTTTTTCAGCGTATCTTTGCCAAGAGCACTTCTCTGACAAAATTTCGTTTGAAATCGTCGTTAAACTGTAGGTCTCATATGACTGTACAACCAGTATGCGCATCACAGGCATATGAGAGAAGTCACCACGCTCGGCTACGAGCAATAGGACTGAAGAGAACACTGTAAAAAATATCGGTGTGGATTTAACACCTCTAGTGTGAATTCAACATCGCATGGGTGTAAAATTCACATCACAGGTGTTAAATCCACACAGATTTTTTTAGAGTGTTGAAATGATCTACATTATTTCATGACGATTGTTATTAAAAATATTTTTTTGCCGAATATTAATATTATTCATTAACGGACTCCTGTAAGAATATAATACTAACTTTTGCGTTCAGATATTTTGAGGTGGATTTCAAATTTATGAGTTTGTGGCAAATCGTGACATATAGCATCACGTTTACGGAGAAACCACTGTGCTGGATGTCTTTCACAGCCACACTCATTTCGTCGTGCAGGAATCGAGTATACGAGAAGGACCGAGGGATCGATAACGCGGATAATCGAACGTCAAACGGGGACGTGACCGTTTGGGCCCTCCGCCCTCGCCTCGAGCATTCTGGTTCCTCTCCAAAGTCGTGAATAATATCGCGGATCGTGCTCGATAACCGCGTTCTTCGAGTCGTCAGGATGGATTTCGATGGCGCGAAGACACATCGATGATCCGCGTGAGAAATGTTCGTCGATCTGAGTGAAGCAACATCTAATCTGTTTCATTCTGGATTCAATCTTTGAATTAATAAACAATATTTACAGATACTGTATCGTCTCATGTTTTTATACAGAGAATCAGCGATTCGAATTAGTTTGTTATTAAATGATTTATTTGTAAAACGTGATTTTTTTCTGCTTATAGTCCATTCAGTTTGTCCTAATAGATATTTGTTTGATAATTTGCTTAATATTTGCCGGTCCAGCGTACTGTATTTTTGCTTAAAATGAATATAATTTAACGTTTTTTTTTCATTTTGAAGGCCAAAATACGAGGAATAAAATTACGTAATTTAAAATTATGTAAAATTGTGGAAAACATTTGTTATCAATAATTTTTTACAACGGAGTTGAGGAAGATGTCCACTGGATCCGTGAATATCGAATTACGGTTAAAAGTTTCTCTAACAAATGATTAATAAGTAATATTGTGAAGATGAAAACGATATAACTTATGGTATAATTAGCGTAGTTGGACTATAATATTACTGGTTGCTAAATTTACTCAATAGCGGGATGGAAACACACGCACGCCGAATGGTGTTTCATTCGGTTATGAGAAATTGGATATTTATACTTGCGCTTGTGGCCATGGCGTTGCGAAATTAGCAATTAACGTTAACAGCGCTCGTTGTATCTCTATCGCATGGCTTAATTCAAAATAAGACAGAATGATGTTCGAAACGCTGACAGTGAATTCTGGGACGTAGCCAGAGTCGAAGCTAATACCATTAACCCAACAATCGCTAAAGTGGCAATTAGACTTCGAAGACAAAGCCGTTTGTACGACACTTCGGAACTGAGATTCCATATATATGTGCAAAATGATACGAGATGGAAACTGGTACACGGCGATGGCGAAAATATATTCCACATTTTCATGAAAACGTGGATTTACGTATACGTATGTTACGAATGTTATATCGGTTTTTTATTATCGAACAATTGCGACTTTATTTCGATTTAATTAACAATATTTGTTTAATTATTATTCGAATTAGAAATGTCTTTCATGGATTATAAATAGCTATTGGTTTTTCATAGTTTGTCAGAGGAATTATTCGAGGGTGGATAAGATCGACATATGCTCACGTACAAAGGATATATCCTTAATGTAAGTCTTTGATACAAAGCGCAAGTCTGTGGTACAACGAACGCTCTAAGCGGAGGATTTCCTTTATGAAAATAGGATTCAGCGGTACCGGTAGATCCTCCAAGTCTTAGCCTGTCGCTCCGACTTAATTGCCAAGATTATCCTTATGTAAATACATTTCTCTATCGCAAGTTACGCGTCGTGGTACCTAAGACAGTCCCGTGATAAGGAGATTGCGAGCTAGCTTGGAAAATAATCGTCGCGGGATGTTGAGGTGCCGTGGTACCGACTTTTCGCAACCCTTAGTCGATGGTGGTGGTCGCCTTCAACTTTCTCGAAGCTCTTCGGCTGGTCGCGAAGGGTAGGGATCGCTGGTAGAACGACAGGGGTGATCGGTGGTGGAAGAAAAGCGGTTGCCCTCGAGAATTCTTCCCCCTCCCGGGGGTTATGTAGGTGTTAATCGCGACTTGTGTGCAGCCCGCTGAACGTGGTGGAGAACATATACGGGGCCCAAGGTATAGCAAGTAGCATAATATCGACCGTAGATGTTGTTGATGCAAACGGTAACCATGGGTGACTTGAGCCGATTGACCAATTGCAGTCTTCACGGTGGCCGTGCCCGACCAATCGTCTAGCGGTACGCTGCCGGTTTTTTGATTGGGCGATACCAGGGATAAGAGACCAGTTCGAGGCCATCGAGACCCACAAATGAACGTGGACATACCAAGTGGAGAACATCGGTCTGCTGCGGTGCGAAGTGCCCGTCGTTCTTCATCATCCTCGTCCTCGTCCACATCGAACTTGGTCGCCGTCGTCGTCGGTCATCTCTCCTCCGTGTGTGACGCGACCTTTGGATAACTATTCGGATTTTGTGTCTATTTCTCGGTTGTCCTGAACATCTTCTATGTAAGATCTTTTTACAATCAGCTTTACAGTCGTTCGTTATCCAACACGACTACCGCACGCCACTATGAACGCACTTGATATTTCACATTGTATTCTGCTTTATTATCTGAAATCTCTCAATTTGATAAAACCGTTGAATTTCCGTCGTTTTCTTTTTGACAAGTTTTTTTATATACATTAGTTGTACGCAAAATGGGATTAGCTTTAAAATAATATCTTTGATTGCTTTAAAATAATATCTAATATCTTCAGATCCTTAATTTTTCACTTTAGGTATACCATTTTTAGGATCTAAAGTCAAATTTCTCGAATCTTTGATTCTTGCACAAATACTCTCCCATTTAATGTATTATATATATTAGCTATATCATTTTTAGATAGTATTTTTATTGAATTATTTCATTTCTTAATCAAGCCTTATCGTTTGAGATATTAGAGAGTTTTAATAGAATAATCTTGTATTTTTTGTACCTAACTAATCTTTCTAGCTTTGGCCGAACCAGTGTAGAATTTTGCAAATACATGTTTTTTTTATATACAATATTTCGAAATCGTTGACTTATTAGATAGATGATTGGATTGGTTTTTCTTTCGTTCATTTTTCTTGCATTTCGATTGTTCTCGAGAGTACTTAAATCGATCGACTCGGCTCGCTTGCGATTCGGTTGAAAAGGATACGTCGTAGAACAGCAGATCGCAAACTAACAAAGTGGATTACAGTGTACTTTGAGCCTCAACACTTTTCGTTGCTCGAGCGCGTATTTTGCATCGGATTCGCTCGCTTTCAGCCACCACCACCATCACCACCACCACTACCGGCAGTCAGCACTGTCACTGCCGACCCCTCTCGGTTGATCTATGTGTTTGCCGGAGCGAAATTAAGTTATTTCATTATCGCACGCCATTGTAGCTAGTCTCGTCTGTATAGACATACCGTTGTTTCGGCGCCGGGGTGGCTTCGTCCGTCTCGGAGAAAAAAACTCGCACGAGACACATCACGAGGATTCTATAAGTTTTTGTTTCACTCACGATTAAGTGACGTATTATTCATAAATTCGATACGATACTCTTTACGATTTATCTTATTGTTGTCCTTTTCGCGTCGTGAATTTGCGATTCTCTATGGAAAATTAAGACGCATTTCTCAATTTTTAGAACTGTAAATAATATTTTGTATGTAAGGCTGTTAGGAGTTAAACGCCTTGCGAGCAAAGTACGTTCAAGTCAATAACATTCAACGCGTTATTGGAATGAAAATAAACGTTCGTCTCTCGACATGTTTTGTATACCGCGAGTGTACGCGGAGTGTGTCGCAATTTTCGCTTAGAAAGTTCCACAATACATGCGCGTGTCTCCTCCAAAAACGACAGTTTGGCGGACAGTCTCGTCTTGCTGAGCTCACGTCGTTAATTGTGGCAAACCGGTCGTAACTTTGTCGTGTTTTGTGTTTCAGACGGGTGGAAAGCTGGCGTTGATCGTAGAGTAATTTACCTCCGTGTCAAGGTGAGTTGATAAAATCGTTTTTACTCTGAGAATTACCCGATTCGCAAACTTGAGAGAACCCGACGAAGTTAGAGTCAGGCAATATCGAGTCTTATGTGTCGGTGCGATAGATTATAATTAATTTATCACAATAATGCACTGAGAAAAATGTTAAAAGTGGACGAACCAGAAGATTCTAATTATATTAATTAGAATTTAAGGAGATGCTGGAATGTCCTGTTTTACCATTAATTTTTAAAGACTTTTCTCTTATTTGTGTTTATGTAATTGTGTTTATTGAAAAGTCCTTCTCCACAATTAAAGTATCGATAACAACACAGGCTGCCAGCTACAATTTAATGCGAAAAATGAAAGAAAATTAAAAATTGTAGTT